CTGAGGATTTTTTAAAAACCCAGTAATACTTTGCCCGACCCGGGAATCGACACCCAGCAAAAATAGCCACTTGAATATAAACTTCGGTCTCCAACGCAAGTAAAGGCAGCCCAAGAACCTGGGACTGTGGAGTCGTTCCTTGATTTACATCTATATCTGCCTAATAAAGTTGGGATTTTATAAAATTTCAAATGAAACTTACTTAATATGGATGAGAAACATGTTGCCGCAGTCAATGCTCTTAAGCCGGGCACCACCCGACTTTCTCTAAGAAGAGTATATACATTTACATTTGGAATATTTTTCTTAATTAACAATACTATTTTTACAAATACTCTTTCTGGACTCCACTCCTTCCTGTAATATATAAAATTAAATATGAATATTACATCATACTCATCTTCATCTGAAGATGTATGTAGATGTAGATGTAGATCATCATACATCTTCAGGCAGTTGCAAACAACTGTAGTGTAATATGTTTAACTTTCCTCCGCGTGGAGTAGTGATACAGTGCTCCTCCTCTATAGTTGATCGTGATAGCGTGATAATATGTAGCCTATATGTTGACCCAACCTGTTAGTAATATTCATGCAAAATCTGAAGTAAATTCATGCAGCACTTTTTGAGTTCATCCCGGACATACATACTAAACAGACAAAAATGCTAAAATTTCAAATTTTTGGTTTCAATGTCGACTGTAGATCACGGCCCAAATATTCTTTTAAAAAAAAATTCGATGTACAGTTTTCACTTTCCTACGATTTTATTATATGTATCGATTAATTCAACACTTTTTTCTAAATAACCAGTTAAACACGTGAATTTATTTTATATGCTACAAAGCATTACCTACACGTCAATTTTATCAAGCGACCAATAAAGTCGAACCAGAGTGAGTAACGAAAGAGTATTGTTATTTTTAGGTGCTTATTAAATTAAATAGGGTCATTATTTATTATTAATAACCTTTTCTCCATTATAAAATCATTTATACATGTCCGAAACATCTAAGAGATCCATAAAATTAATTAATAATCATTTATTTCGGACATCTAAGAGATCCATAAAGTTAATTAATATCTATACCATACATTATTAATACCATACCATCGCTCCATTGATTATGTAGAAAAATTAACAAATGATTAAGATAAATAAAACCTGACAGTAAGTTACAATAGGTTAATAAATTGTTCTCTCTTGATTTGGAGATTTATGATAAGGCATGTGACAAAATCTAACTGTACCTACATGTGTGAAAAGTATGGTATGGATTGGATAGGTCGAATTTTTTCTACCTATCTTTCATCATCATAGCTTTATACTGCCTCTTGATTGCAACCAAAGAAGACAAAGTTTATGAGACTAAGGGGGTGTTTGATAAAGGTATACGGTATAGGAGGTTTGGTTCGAAAATGAATTTAATGTTTAATCATAAACCATTTACCGTAAAGTGGCATTGATCCGCTCCGATTCTGGTTTTGATTTCATTATGCTAGATTGGAATAAGTTGTCCCATTTATAGGTCTCCTTTACTTTGCTTACGTAGTTTTATCTCAGCAGGTTTGTTGCTGCGCTATTGAGTTTTCTGATGTTCTTTATTCAAACAATTGTCTGCAAATAGAAATTTAAAACTTTATACCTCTACAACTAATATTTTTTAGTACAAGTATTGAGACCCATGCTTCGGCGCTAATGGGTCGGCGCGAATGGATCGCCTCGACTGGTGTGACACCACGGCCATGCAGAAAACAACGATTGTATTTTGTGAATTATTGGAATTATTAATTAATTATTATGTTCACATGTCATATTACTGGAGTGGAATCTGAATTACTGGAGGCTCAATTACCGCCTCCTCCCCAATCTTGCCAGTCCCTGAATCCTCAACAATCCTCAAGTTCTTTCTCCCCAAAAAGCCGGCAATGCACTTAGAAAACCTCTGGTGTTTTGGGTGTTCATGGGCGACGCCAATTGCTTACCATCAAGTGATCCGTGAGCTAATTTATGTTATCGCATAAAAAAACTTTATATTCATTTTGTTTATCGAAATCTCTAGAAATATTAAAGAGTAAAATTGTATATAATTATTAGGTGATTCTTATTATTTTTACTATTGACTCCTGGGTGATTTTGCCCACTGCTTGGGACATGCTATTCTCAAAAAGTACTGGTTTGAATTGAAAACCTTCCTTCGCATTGGATAGTCCATTTTATTATGGATTTATTAAGGAAGGTTACATTTTGAAACTGATGTTTCAGTGTGATCACTATGGTCAATAAAGGATTAGCAGTGCATGTAACTGCATGAGCTAGTACTTATTTAATACATAGTTAGCATACCATTATCTTTTTTGGCTGTAAATTTTGTTTCGAACAGCACAGACTTGATTGAAGAAGTTGCACTGAAGAAATCGTCTACACTGAAGTTGAGCTGACTCCTCTGAAAGTAATGAAAAGTAGTAATTAGTGCATATGTTATACATATATTATAATTATATATACTATATAGACTATTACATAAACCTGAAGAGTATGTTTTTTATTATTTTATATGGAATCAGGAACAAGTGGTCTGAATTGAAAAAATATTTTATGTTGGATAGCCCGTTTATCGAGGAAGGCTATTAAACATAACGCTACGATCAATAGGCGACAAGCAGAGAGAATTAAACCGCGGCAAAGTACCAAGTTGAATATATGTCACCCCTTTTTATCCTTAAGATTAGATAATTATAGTGTGATAATTTAAAGTGGGATTTTTTAAATATTAATGTGTAAAAAATGTTCTGATTGGTAAGAAATAAGTGAGCTTTGAAACATACATCTTGTTAAAATGTTAAATTGTGATTATAAATATACTATTTAGTGACATAATCAAATGAATATGTACTTACGGATGGTATCGACTTACAAAACTTTAACCGAACGAAGACCCTTTTTTTTAAAAGGGAGTTACCGTTTGCTTCTTTTAGTTCAATGAAAGTTAGTTTTTCAAAAAAGTTAAATGAAGTATGAATATACACCATCTTTACTAGGAGGTATTGTTTTATTATCTTTTAGAAAAAATATTATACCCTCTAACAAATTAATATGTTAAAATTTACTATGGCTGCTTGTTTATATTTATAATATACCAAGATCAACCGCGTACCAATTTTATTTACTATACGTAATTATCTGTCACTGATTAGCTGTCACTTTCAGCCTGTCAGAGTGTGTCAAAAATTCAAAATTTTATCTGTGGTCTGGTGTTGGAAATACCCGATTCCTCATTCCATAGATGCGATGCGATCATTGCTGTAAACACATGGATTGGAATGGAAATACGAAAAATCTTGCTCCGTTACACAACAAAGAAAGAAAGAAATGGCGGAGGATGAAAGCAACACTTAAATACAAATGTTGCAGGATAGAATAGAGGAATTGACATGTCAACTGAAAAATGCTCATGAGAAAATTGAAATATTAACGTTGTAAAATTAAATTTGAAACCGAGTAATGAAGAACTATAATGGTTTCGTTTATTAAACTCAAAATCTTCCAAAAGATGTAACAGTAGTCCAAGATTTTAATTATTATACAAATAGTAATCTACTAATACTAATATCATTTATCGACTTACTTGAAAATAAGCTAAGATAAATTTAGGATGAGTACAATTCTTAATTTTTTGAGGGGGAAAATTTAGTAATATTTACTCAATTACATTTTAGTTAAATACTGGAAAACTAAAAGACAGGATATCTGTATGAAACACCAAATTCTGTTCAGGAAGCATCATAAATCTTTATATTTTAATGAAGTGAAGGATGCTAGCAACGCTGACGAAGCTTTTGATGAAGCATTTCACATAGCCTAAACGAAGCGCACCTAGACGAAGTGGATCTAAGGTATTCCTCGTGGTGCACCCATAAATGGTTTTAAATAACAATAAATTTATTTTTTCACATTCCTAGTTCAATCCGCCATGTTACAAAACGTGTTTTTTTTGTTTTTGTAGGTATTTCCAATCTAAATGTTAATATATCTATGATGGTCTGTGGCTTAATGATCACAGGTTCACAGTTTTTTTAATAATGTTGTATGAAACGCTTGTATGGTATCATAATTATATCTCGAAATTTTATTATAAATACAAATATTTTCAAACCTCTTACATTAAAACTATTACTAATTTCTTCATTTTCAATCATGTCTATTCATGGGTTAATGGACTCGGCAAGATTTTATTGACGTTTATGTTTGAAAATATTTCAAAATAAACAAAGGGATTATGACTTTCACTGCAATTGATGAGTGATGTAATAATAAATTGACCAGTATTGGTATGATGAAATTTAGCAATGTAAGGTGAAATCGCTTGATAATCGTCTCCCAAAGTGACATTGTCAAATTGACAAAAAAATAACACCAGTAACAGTAAATCAAAATATTATTTGTAAGGTCACGCGTCTGTAACATATTTTTAATTTTCTATATTAAAAATCTACGCAGCTATGAAACCAAGAATACTCCTCTTCGAACTGAAAGTATTGAAACAATGGGCCTCCAAGAGAAGTTGAAGGTTCTGCTGAAGTATTCGAAAATAGTGGCAGTAATAGGAAGTGGTGCTTTTTGTGTTTATTACAGTATTGGCCAAACCTGCAAAACATTAAATAGTATTGTAAATCCAAGAGTAGTTGACCGGGAAAAGAAACATGTAGCAGAGTATATTTACGTCGATGATCCCTCGTACAACCGGACATTCCAAGTGGAGTATGATAAGGCGACAAAACAGTCTGTGGGTCTGGCGCGTATCTGGAAGAGCTTGAAGCATTCCTTAGCATGGAGACTTTTGTGGTTATGTCGAAATGGAAATAAAGATCAAAGGAACATAGCACTAGAACAATTAGCTTCATTTAAAAACAACAAAGTATGGGATTGCTGTAAACTTGCTCAAGCTATAGATGAGAATACTGCTGTGTTACTGGCACGAACTTATGGTGCTGACTTGCGATATTTCCTTCCACCTCCAATACACATTCGTAGAGCTGCATTATCTAATGAACTAGTGTCTTTCAAATTGAGAGACCTCATTATCGCTGTACAAAGTGTTAATCCTCATAGCTGCATTGAACATTTTCTCTCCAAATACTTTGCAAATGTACAAGAAGCAGCGATGGAATCAGACAGTATACCATCTAAACCAGATAATATTGGTGAAAGAGATCTGTGTATATCCTGTATGGATGCTATATATCACCATGTTACTCTTTTCAGTTGTAAAGATTATGACAAAGATAATTCAACACAAAAATTGATCAGTATGGGGCTACTACCTATATTAGCTGAAACTATGTTAAGAAATCGCAATGATCTGGATTGTGACCTAGCTGTGCTCAAAGTTCTTACTGTTTTGAGTGTTCATTGCAATTTATTGCGGGATTTTTTTCAAAATGGCCTCATTGGTGAATTATCACGGCTTATACGGTCAAAGGATATAAGGTTATCAAGTTCAGCAGCAGTATGCCTTGCAAATTTATCTGGAGAATTTTGCTACAGACCGGGATTATATTTGTTACATCCTCTCTACAGAACTACAGGTACTACTGCCTGCGATACTTTGCTTGTGCATGGACTCAGGGGAGGTGTATTTGTCACATGGAGGCAACGGGACAAAAAGTGTGCTCAACCTGTTGGAATAATAGAAGTTACAGTCTCTGATTTTGACTGTGAGACCTCCGAGATTGTAACAAGGCCAGAGAAGAAATATTTAGATCCTGATATGCAGCAGGTAATGGAAGATTTAATAGAAATAGGAGATGAAGCATTGCTGTCAGATTTAGAAGTAGTTCTCCATGATATCCCTATTGAAGCTATGAGAGAACCCCAATCATCTAACAATTTTACTGCTAATCACAAAAGAATTGCACTAAATCAAGAAGAAGAAGACAAATATAACTATACAGCCTGCTGGCCTAAAGACTGGCTGCCAAAAGATATCAGTAACTTGAGAATACTTGGTGTGAATTACTGGACCTCACTGTCAGAATGGCTTGAAAGATGCCCTTTACAAACAGCAGACATAGCAACTCGGGCTTATGAAATGGTACCTGCTCTTATAGATGCCGGTGTCGGCAATAAAAGTACACCAGTAGTCTGGCTAGCTCATTCTATGGGTGGATTAATTGTCAAACAAGTGCTAGTTGAAGCATCCCAAAGCGATCAGCAATTATTGAAGAAAATTGCTGAGAACACTAAAGCTGTATTATTTTTTAGTACTCCACATAAAGGTAGTTCTATGGCTACAATGCCCCGAGCAGCTGCTGCAGTGTTATGGCCTTCGAATGATGTGAGACAATTACAACAAGATTCACCAGTTCTATTGAACCTACACAAAGCATTCATTGAGTTTGCAGATGCTTATAGTTGGGAAACTATAAGTTTTGCTGAAACCATGCCGACGCTAGTCACAGCATTTAAAGTTCCTGTACATTTTGTGGAGTCATTTTCGGCGGATTTGGGCCGTGGCGAATTTTATCAACTACCTCTTGATCACCTGTGTATCTGCAAACCAGCAACAAGACAGTCTATTTTGTATACCACAGTATTAGAAGTCCTACAAAGAGTATCCATTAAGGAACAAGAGTTACCATATTCAAATACTTTTGTCCAAAAAATTTCAGACCTATTTTGGTGGATTCTAAGGACAAAAGCCAAAGAACTGTTAGAAACTATAGATGAGAATCAAACAAATGAAGGTTTGCGATGGACAGAGAGGGTCTTATTGAACACATTCACAGATTAATCTTCCTCAAATATATTTTGAAGTATTAATTTTATTATTTTGTAATTTTTTGCTGATACAATTATTTATTGTTATGTAAAACCTCCTGGACATTGTGTTTTTGATAATAATGTGTAAGAGAGTAATTTTAACAGTATTCTATAGTGAGAAGGAAACATACATGGTGCCATTGATTTAAGAAAATAATGCTATGCTAAGGTAGGTATTTTTGTATACTCGTTTTATTTGAAAATTCTATTTATTGATGTTCTGAATGTCATGTTTCCTATTACCTGCTATTGAGTAAACTATTTTGTGTTAAAGAAATTATTTTTATTTATGTAGTTCCCTAGTTTTCATGAAATCATCATTCAACCAACATGCATTCAATTTGTGGTCTAGTAATCTATATAATATTATGTCTACGTGTGTATTTATTTATTTAAATTACCTTTTCGTTCGTTTCTAAGTACTATAATAATATGCTAGAAGAAACTATGATATTCACTTGGCCACTGGCCAAAGCATAGTTTTATTTATATATTCTTTGTTGAATCGCTTCCTTTGTTTACGATTTATAAATAGTAAATAGGTGGATCCTCATCAATGACTCGAAGGTATCTTGAAGTAGGTATGTACATTGGTACTACATTCTTAAAATACTCACAGGTAGGTGGGGGGGGGGGGGGGGTAGGTATGTAGCAATGTAGGTACTTTTCTTTTACGAGGGGAAAATCATCGAATGGTTTCTCTCCCGCCTGGGTGAGGCGGGAGGGAGTGTCAGATTCTTACTGACTAAAGACCACCCCGTTCCTACTCCTGCACTTTGAGCCGGAGTCCCGGTAACCCGTCAAGTTCTCCGCGGCAGATATGTAGGTACTTAGGTTTGTAACTTGGTGTGGGAGAGCTAATTCAGCACGAATAGATTGCTTTGACCCGAGCAATACCACGGCCAGACAGAAAACCAGCATGATACAACGCTTGCATGCGTGTTTCACTTCACCGTGTGACTGAGATTACTACCGGACTGACAACACATTTGTAAGTCCGTTGGTATTGTGGGTGTCGCTGATTGCTTACCGTATAGTGCTGCGCCCGCTCGTCACCCTGGGGTCCATAAATAGATTCCTAATTCCTTACGAGTAGGTACTGCTGACGCGGAGACGCTACAATCTCTTTATATGAATAATTTTTCATACTTTAAAGTCAAATAATTTTATGTTTAAATACATTCAGCAATGCTACCTATATCATTCAGCAAAACCCATTCAGGCGGCATTTTTAAAGTAAAAAGTGATAATTACCATATCTGCCATCAGAGCCACCTGTGTGCGTTTTCAAAAACAATGTTTCTTAAAAAAAAATCAGATGGCACTGCCAGTGCTATGTTGCCAGTTTCGGATCGTGGAAACTGTATGTAGTTATTTGTACTTCATTTATTTCGTATAAATTTCAGTTGTTAATTGTGTAGGACACGTACGTACGCACAAAATTACTTTCGTCTGTAGTCTATACCGTGAAATATATTATTTATAATGTTTTTGGGCAGAGGTAAAATAGTTTTGTTTGTACAAAACTCAAATCGTTGTACACACGGCCACACATCAATCTATACAAAACTAGTATATCCTGGTGTCGCGTCGCATCATCTTTGCGCACATATAACGTTCAGTTTATACTTTTATTTTTTTTTTTTTTTTTTTTTCTATTGAATTTTTTACTTTTTTTTTTTTTTTTTATTTTTACTTTAAACAGAATCGAAAGTTCTCCTTGTATCAAGTTGTTTTACCACGGTATTAATTGGTGCTTGACAAAAAAGAGTTAGAGGCGGTGACAGATAAAACTAATATTGATTTAGACTGAATCGCCTATTTCGTATCAAAACCGATTGAGTCGTAGTGAACCAGGTTGCCACATGTACGATACTGGTGACTCAATTAGTCCAAACTTTTTTTGTCAAGAAGTACCTACTTATAAGATAACATGTCCTGAATGACTGACTGATTCATCGTCGCTGAACACAAACTGTCAAGGTCAACATGAAATTTGGACCTGGAAAGTACCAATTTGCCTTTTCCAAATTATATGTATGTACTCTCTAAAATTATTTAGACATCAGTTACATACGGTGAAGGACAACATCTTGACGAAATCTGGATTTATAATTTAATTACTAGCGTCTGCCAGCGGCTTCGGCCGCGATCCCAGGGGTAAAATGCCTGTGTGTGCCTTCAGACTATAATCTACCTCTTTTCTGATTTTCATTTAGGTATAACATAACCAAACAAGTGAACTCACATATTTTCACATTTCATTTTCAGAACCCATCAGTTCAAGCTAATTTCAACCATCGGGCCTACAGTTACAGCGTAAAGTCCACCTATAGCGATTTATATGATTCTTTTTTTTATTGAATAGGTAATGTTAACAATTTTAAATTATGGATGAGTGAGAGTATTATAAACGGAAGAGTAATTAAACAAATATAAGCAGAAAGCTCCGAACTGAAGCTATCGGGAGTTACACGTGTTATTATGAGTCAACCATATAATATAGACATATGCTGTTGTGGGATATTTTTTAGATAATTTTATGTAGAACAATTCCGTCATACTCGACTTCTATGTATGCTTTAACCTTTTCTGAGTAGTTGGCACTTACAGGCTGTTGATGTGTATGTGATATGATTATGTATTTTTGTTTTACACTAAAAGGTACAATAAAGGTAAAATGATAAAACAAATATTTATTACCGAACACATTCGAATTGTACAAAAAAACATGGCAACATTAATTTTATCTAGTTTCGGCGTGCCGACTAGATGTCACTACTGCCGTTTTATGAAAAAGCTCAGAATTATGAAACAATGAAGCCAAAATCTTACTTACTCCATTAATGTTTTTGACAGATTTTACAAGATTGTGAATTTTTAAGTCCCTTTTTAGCTCTATTTAATGATCATTTTCAAGTATTTTAAGATACGATGTAACTGTGTAAGTGAGGATTAACTATGTAAGGAGTTATCAAATATTCCTTATTTAAGTTTTTGATAATGAATTAAGATCACAGGCATAAAAGGGCCTAGCCTATCGCTACCTGCGACATTTTTAAAATTTTAGCATCGTCGTTGCACCGAAATAAGCGTATTTCCATTAATGTGTAGGTACAAGCCTGTTCGATTGTCTAATTAAGTATATGTATTATATTTTTAAATACAATATATTATACACAGTTCATATTTAATATACTGGTAACCACAATAGAACCACTATTTTAAAATATAGTTTAACAAATTGTCACTTAGATGTCGCTATTGGGCACTTTCGTGATGGAATATAGCTTCTTCACCATATTTCACTGTTATAACGGTTGAATAGATTTGTTGGTTGGTTGGTTTGTGAGTAGTGTGAAGCGTCTCCAAAAACAGCCAAAATATATAATGCCTCTCTGATACAATTCATAAATTGATTAATTAATTATAGGTAACTACAAATCGTCTTTCCAAATCTTTAGTATTCTTAGTATTCCCAGGTATTCTTTAGTATTCAAGTATAATATTTACATGAAAACATATAGCTACAATTTTTATTTCTGTACATAATCATAAATAAATACTAATTTCATCTTATATCAATGTAGCTAGGCTAGCTAGTTCATCATCAATTGGGTAATTATAAATTAATTATTACTGTTATACTTAGTTAATGAGACCAGTAAAACAATAAATTTAGAAACTGATGTCGAAAGTAATCACTTACTAAATAAATTTTTTATTAAACAAAATACATAGAATATATAAATACATTCCGGAAAGAAAATTTATTCTTCATTACCTTTATGAACAATATAATCCCAGTAGAACAACTTAAAACGAAGTAAGATTAAAAAGTACTTACTTGTAATAATTATCCCTGTAATCTGGATAAGCAAGTAATTAAAATGAAGGCTCAGACCCAGATTTCGTTATAATTAATTCGTGTAAAATCGATATGAACCGCAATGCGATGACCCACATGCCACGAGCAGAGATCAGGGGTGGGCAATGGATATTTCTGCTTAGAAATATTTTATGAACAAAGAATAAATGAAATCTATCCGTAAATTAGAATATTGGACTTGGGAATTTTATAAAAATACGGTTTATATTGAATGCCCTACTTTAAAACTATGTTAACTTAGTAAGTTGTTCAAGTTAATTAGGTAGGTACCTACCTACTAAATTTAAATTAATAGAGAAAATTATAGATGTAATTATTTATTTGTACGAATAAAACCTATGCATAAGTATGACAGTGGAGAACGTGTTGGATGGATTGCAATGATAATATGAACATAATTGGGTCATGCATGACTGTCAGCTAGGTATGAAAAAAAATATTTCTCACAGAATATTTCATTGATATATGTTTTATAATCAACAACGGAGTTTACAATATCTATCTATTTCACTGCAGGACCAATGTCTTTGTTGTAGGATGATAGGTACCTACCTACTTACATAGCAAACTTTAAATATAAAATGTCAACTCTAGACTATGACCCTTTCGTGTGTACAAGTACAATCTAAACATTTTCTTATATTTACGTATAATTATGGGTCTAGGTACCTACCTAACTAGATTCACAAAACAATAATCATTTTAAGGAGTATAAAAATATTGCTTACGGCAGGGACTTTATTGCAAGTATAGTTTTTAATGTCAGTAATATATTTTTATAGTTTTGCACAGCAGATAAAATACATCGTACATTTTTATTAATCTGCCGACATCACGATATTCAGCTGGATGGAACGAAACGTAGCGCTCTAGCCCCCTACCACAAAGTGCCCCGCCCGAAACACCCAACTCCCCATTCCTGCATTGGGACGTGGGTAAAATTTCCCCACACTCACCCCCTTTATGATAGGGGGTGAAGGCTTGGTCGTACAGCCACGTCATCTATTGTACGAAACAGGAAAATTTTATAGTTTCTATATTATCCGACAGATAGAGCTAGGAGCGCTGCTGCAAAAGTTTAATAAAGTTTAGTTTTGCCGCGAGGAACGTGTTTTGTTTAACTTTGTTCCTAGGTATTACAAATATTACGAACAGAAAACGGAGCGTACGGTTTTGTAATAATTTTTTCCTATTAAAATTAGGTTTAAAAAGGCATAATAATAATAATATATTAACTGAATATAAGTAGGTACCTAAAGGGATGTCATTCCTATCACAATGACATAAAGGGTAGAAATAAAATTGTAATTGTATGTTATTTAAATTAACTAAAACTTGGATGTTAGGTGCGACAGGCCATTTTGTTGTCTCAATGAGAAAGAAAGAAAGGTGACACGAATAAACGATAAATTATTATATACGTATTACGTAGGTGGTCATGCAAATACAAAGAGTCTTA